CAAAACTGTGTTGCCATATATTGCATACTACCATAAATAGTTCATTGCTACATATAGTATATTGCTATAGATTTCTTCAGTTATCTACTGCCATCATCGATTGTATATTTCTTCAGTTATCTACTACCGTAGATGGTATATTGGCATAGATTGTATACTGCCCTGAATAGTCTATAGGGGTAAATAATTACTACAAATTATCTATTGGTATTGATTGTATACTGTCTCAGAAATCTAAACACGATTTTATTTTTATCGGAAGGTATCGGCCAAAATCCACAAATAAGTTTTATGAAATTGGCAAAGAAGTATGGTGATATATTTTCAATCCAATTAGGGAGTCACAAAATTGTAGTGCTTAACAACGTGCAATTGGTTAAGGAGGCTTTGGTGAGAAAGCAGAATGACTTTGCCGGGAGGCCGTATGTGTATTCAAGTAAGATTACAATTTCAGCATTTTGAAAAAAAAAATCGAATCTTGTCACAAAGCTCACACATGTCGCTGTGATGCTATTGTATGATATCGCGAGAGTTGTGAGTCAAATGTGAAATTTCTTGAGTGTTGACGTTCTAATCAGTATCGTAAATAAAAATAAAAATTAGTTGTAAGTCTGAAACCTCAAGAAATGTTCCATCTCAAGGAAATAACAGATAAACGGTCTTTCAATTTGTTTTCATTTCAGCTTATATTTTCACACAAGGCCGCAAAGACATCGTATTCGGTGAATACGGACCAACATGGAAACTACACAGGAAACTGGTACGTGAAGCAATCAGGTAACTATCCCGGATGTAGATGGACCCAGATGTACAACTGCCATTTGTTTGTGTGTATTTGTTGTTCTTTTTTTTTGTTTGTTATCTGATTCTTCCGATGAACGGTGAAGAAACAAAAGAAAATTTAATTTAAAACAAAACAAAAGTAGTGTTACTAGTTACGCTAGCCTGAGTTTCTAGTGTTAGTGAATACAAGATATAGTGAACTACAACGAAAATAAACTAAATAAACACATCAGATTTAAACAATGCGTGTTACGTCTGGTAAACAAATTGCAAGTGGCGATAAAGATATTTCTGGTGGGACCCTCGCAGTAGCCCTCTCAATCTGATCAAAACTCTGCTGCAGATAACTCGATCTATTACAGGTTTACAGATCATCTATCTACTTTGAATATATTGCAAATATATTGTGACAACGGTAGATACATCTAAGGAATTTATCAAGTACGATCACGTATATTTTAAAGTGAGCGAATCAGCGATAAAACTAAACATGGCCTATTTTACGACCTAAGTTACGAATAGTACGTACCACTCACAAATCAATAATGTTGATATTACGTCAATGATAGAGCTTTTGCCAGTGGTGAGGCCCTGGAGAAATTGGTCACGGAGCAAGTTTTCCCGAGGTTCAAATCACTATTGGAAGAAAATGAAGATATACCAATTGATGTAAAGCCGATGCTGATGCTTCTCATTTCCAATATAATGGCATCGCTGTGCTTTGGATGCAAGTAAGTCTGCAGCAACCTGCACGGAAAGTATAGTAGGATTCTCTTAATCTCGTGTGCGATAAACATGTGTGGTGCTATAGCAACACTTTTCTCCGTGTCTATCTTTCCGATTGCCAAGTACCCAGGGACATGTTGCCGCCACGAACCTACACGACGCATGCGTCAATTTCTAGAGACACAAACGCGGTGATAAACAATGGGACTAAAACTTTTTCGGGTCATTTTGACCTTAAATGGTTAGGATGGCGGTCAGAGGTCGAATCTTGGCTAGAATTTCCACATTTTGGCGCCAAAATCGTCGGTCTCCTCTTACGATTTCCGCAGTATCGCTTTCATACTTGCTAGATTTTTGAATTTTGTATCATTTTCAAAATGACAACCCATTAAATTGTTGGATCCCCATAGTGGCACAATCTTCACTTACCGGCTTGTTTAGTTACTCTTTGAAGGATAAAGAATTTCTCGAATGCGTCAAAATCACGGATGAAATGACAGTAGGAATTGGCAATGGTTTGTTAGCTGACTTCATACATTGGGCTAAATACCTTCCCACAGCTGGACCCAGAACAGTGGCTGATATCACTCGTAGGTTTACTGCACTGTTACGAAGAAAACTTCACGAACACTACATTACTTACAATAAAGGTAGGTCAAACTTTACTGTGTCACGTTTTTGTTTTTTTGTTTAAGTGTGAGTTAGATGCACGATTTTCTTTTTTTTATTGTTTATTATTTTTTTTAGTTTATGTTATTACTTGAAAACACGTGATGATATGTCATATACTATTGTAGATATTTATGATATGCAAATATGTCAATATGTGTAGAACATCCTAACATTTCATTCATTAAAAATATTAATCGAATATTAAACACTAGAATGGATTTTTCAATAAGACATCGATACGATGATGTCATAATATTGTGAGAGCAAACGTCACATAAGATTAATGTTGCGCATGCGTCATATATTTATGATGAAACTCTTCAATTCAGTTACAGTTCCATACTTTCCAAGACGTAACATCCCCCCCCCCCATATTTCTCGATTACGTGTTACAATTTCAACGCTGTGTTTTCAGATACTAGTAGTACACGACGATTTCCATTAGTCGTGCTTGCTTTGTATTTGTATAATAAAAGTCTGTCAAACAACACAATGATGTTAAATTGTTCCCATCTCCCGTAACATATGTGTAAGTAAATGCTAACAAAATAACGATTCAAGGTGGAAAAGCTCTACAAATAAATGAGAGTTGGATTCACAGTTATTCATATCACTCTTCATTTTCTAGATATATTCAACTTTTCATCAGTATATATGTAATCTACAATATTGTTCTCCAACAAAGGATTTTGGGTAAAATATGACGTCATAGTATTTGCTGTGAAAAAAAACACGATTTCGTCTATAAAGGCCTTCAAAATAGTTGAACATTAGGATTAAGGTAGCATACCGGTGACAACCATACAAATACAATGGTTGTGGCAAACAAACTGAAAATACACATTTTTACGTGTTTCTACCAAATTCTCACATATTTTTTAAATATTGTTTTACAATTGGTCGATGAGAGTAGCTTAATTAGGTTATTGACCGCAAAGGGGAACAACAATGTAATTCTATTTTAATGACGAACATAACCATTTTTATTTATTTATTTTTCACCAATATATTTACTTTTCTGTCTTTGCAACATTCTAATTTCCATTATTATAATGATATACACGAGTAACCTGCAAACTGAAAATGTGAACCCTTTTGAATTAGTATTGTCAAGTCGCGGATAAAACCATTTTTCTTATTTGTTTGCAACAAATGTTGTGATGATATTTTTTACCCACAATTCCTTGCCGGAAAATCAAAATGGTGGACAACGTTTTTTTAATTTGAAAAGTTGATATTTATATAGAACGAAACGTGATATAGAAAAGCTGTGACGGAATTGCATTCCCTGTATATGTGGAAATCTCTCATTTGGGAGTATCATACTGTTAGCCCTGAATTCTACACAGTACATTCATTATCTATAGGTAACATCCGGGACTTCACAGATCGCCTGATCAAAGCCAGAAATGACGCCATTGAGGATAATACAGAGCACATCGACTCTTTAACAGAGACGCACATGGTACAGACATTGTCTGATATGTTTGGTGGTAAGTGGGAGGTTCCTATATAATCCATAATTGATGCACCTCTGTTAACGTTCTATAACATCAAAGTTAACATATACACTATTTTACAACAACATTTTCAGAATGTTTGGTTCAGAAAACGACATGATTCTTCTTATTAATGGTCAGTGGTCGAAATGTCACACGTGATTTAAGAGTGAGATATTGTGAGATTTGAAGTTTTTTTTTTTTTTTTTTTTTTATTTTCAGCTGGTGTGGATACGTCTTTGATATCCCTTAATTGGTGTCTTGTATACATGTTGAACTACCCTGAAATCCAAGGAAGAGTCGCCAAGGAAATTGTCGACGTCATAGGGTATGAGCGCACACCACGCCTTAGTGACAGGGGGAGTCTTCCCTATTGCGAGGCTGTCATAAATGAAGTTATGCGAATACAGACTGTGGCACCCCTGGCAATTCCACATCAAGCTTGTGTAGATTCATCTATAGGTATGTTATATATTACGGGTGTGTCCCGGTGTAGTTCTGGTGTTAGGGTATAGAGGATATATATTTACATCAACCACACAATAGTTCAACGATAACTTAAAGATTGGTATATGTGTGCGTTTGCTTACTTGGGTACTTGTATGCTTCAAGTTGTTCGTGTTCTTATTCTAGTATCCAGACACCATGATTTCCCTGTGTATGTTCTCACTCTAGTGCTAATACCTTTTGTTTTGTACGTTCTTGCTCTTCGACTAGTACCTAGATTTTTTGTTGCGCGTGTTCTCACTATAGTACCTCACCGTGCCTCCCATCATGTGTGGCCGCTCATTCAGTGCATTCAGTGATGGCGAAACCCCAAAGTCATTAATTCTTATGCAAACAAACTTTATATGCATTCTGTCGTTTAGCGGATGCCCTTAGAAAATATGGAGTTGACAACGAACCTTTACAATTAACATGAATGTTGTTTTTATTACCAAAGGCGGCTACCGAATACCTAAAGACACGTTGGTCATGGTTAATTTGTGGGCCCTGCATAATGACGTCAAAGAGTGGGATAATCCGAGAGAGTTTAATCCTGGTGAGTTTCTACTGTTTATCGAAGCGGCGTGTGTAATAACGGTCATGTTTCCCACCACGTCAGTGACAACAGAAAGTATTTTTATTATCAGTCGCTTGAGGGCGCTCGTATAGAGTTTTACTAATGTAAAGCGCCTATCACATTCGACTTCATCTAACGCCAGTGAAATGAAAGCTGAATCGACACAGTAAACATGTAGCGGATTTCATGTAAATAAACAATGTATTTACACGCGTTGTATACGTCGTATGGGACCCATATCGAATAGGGGGCTTTAAATTAACAAATCTGTGTTGCATGCCGATATGTTACCAATACGTCACATTCTAACGATTATTATCTCTTTCTCTCTCTTTTCTCTCTTCACAAAGGTCGCTTCATTGACACCGAGAGCGGACAATTTGAACCGAGACCCAGCCAAAGTTACATGCCTTTCTCCGCGGGCCGACGTATGTGTATCGGCGAATCGTTAGCCAAAGCTCAGATATTTTTGTTGTTTGTGTCATTGTTTCAAAATTTTGAGTTCACCGCTGCACCGGAACAGGGTGCACCCCGCCTGGACGGGTTTTGTAGTATATTTGTTAACCATCCATTTCCATATAAGGCATGTGCTAAGAAGAGGTTAATCAGATCGGTCTAACTTGTTCCTATGATTGAACATATTTAAGCAATTATAATGATAAGAATTTAGTGTATTTGTAACTGATTTGTACTATGTTTGTTCTATATTTCTTGCTGAAGTACCTATATCCTATATCGTACCACCACCCCCAAATAGTTTCGCGCAACATGTGTTAAATGAATTAATAAACCGGCAAATGCGCATACACGTTGAATTAATGGTACATATCGGGTCATGCGTATATATGTAGGTAATTATTTCATTAAACGACTACTCACTTTGTGTGCGAACGAACATCGTTGCTATTTTTAAACAATTAATAATGTTATCCTGTGTGTATATTTATTGCCATCTTCCGATAATTGCATTTCTTACAATAACGATTTTAATACAGCCATTGACAAACTGACGAAGCAATTCCTCGTCAGTGCCATGGAGTCACGACGAAATCTTTTGGAATAACCTATTTAATAATATTTAATATATATATTAATATTTTCTTTTTCTTAATTATAATATCTAACTCAATTGGTGTTGATGTTATATAATACACCATTTTATTTGTGACATATTCAGCTCCTATATATTTCTTTAAATATTGACATATTGATATTACAACACCTGAACAAATGGGTCCCGGGTTATAGATTCTGTAAGTCATAGTTATTACATTGTAACTTTGTTCACGCCTTTGTTCGTTGTAAACTGAGCGTTAGAGGGCGGGCTTCGTAAAGAGTGATAAAAAACAAAAGAAGCGAATACGCAATTAAAAGGAGTGAAAATTATCTATATCGTTTTTTCTGACTCTTTCACTTATAATCTTAAAATATTTAATTTGATTGTTACGCGAGTATGGATAGTTAAGTATCGTGTAATACATTTAACTTGTGCAATGAATGTATGAAGAAATAAATAAATGTATGTATGTTTGTGTTCAATAACTTTTACAGTTTCCATGTGTTACCTGCCTAAGCACTTCTTTGACCAGGTTATGTCAGTCTACTTTGGGTTCTACTTTTGTTTAGATATGGCTACTTGTTTATATTTGAAAACTAAATAGGCGAACACGCTTTCTGACGGTATCCTACAGTTTTATAATATTTTGAATTTAACGTCTTACCTGGCTACATGCCCGTATGACTAATAGCATAACATAATACTAGTATCTTTCACGAATTCCATGCGAAGGCTTCATCCCTAATTAATTTTATTTTTCCCGAGTCGGGATATGCCAAAATATCAATATGATAGTGTATGGAATAAAGAACACTCGAAGACCAAATAGAATCTGTTCTTCGATTGCATTCAATGAATAAAGTGCATGGGATCTTTCTTTCTAAATATGTAATTCTCAACACATACTAGTAGTTTATGGTTTGAACAAAGAGATTACGATAGTGTAATGCCTTTGCTTAACGTCTGAATTACCAAAATATGTTTTCCTAACATACCTAGTGAAATTACAATATATACGTAGTTTGTTACGAACGCACATTTCGCTGTACTAAGTTTTGCAGCGTAAGTTTCGCCATGAAAAGCTTTGAACTGTACATATCCCAACCCTTAACTAATCAAACAACGTCAAATCCATATACTAGTAAAAATAAAATTGTCTGTTGCCATGACATTTTCCCATTTTTGTCTAAGTTGTACATTCTTTTGTATATTTGTTTAACAATTATACAATATGATAGTTCATTTAGGCGTAAACAATTATTTAATCACGGGCACAATAGTACATAAATTACAATGTTGTAAATGGAGCATACAACGTCACTAGATAAATTAAAAAAAGAAATACTGAGGAAGCCGAACTGTGATGCGAACGTTGCAAACGATGGTCTTCAAGGAAAGCAATAAAAAATGACAAATGCATTAGTGAAGGGAAAGTATGCAAATGAGATGCCACTGAAATGAGCACATAATCTACAAATATAAAATTAAAATGTAGTATGGTACAAGTAAGAATAGATGTAAAGCGGAATAACTGTTGAAAAAATGCAAATTTTGGAGTCTGATTTGAACTGGCTGTGAAGAAGTTAAGTTTCCCGTCTTCGGTATGGCTGCATCATGACCATAAGGTGTGGCCTTTTTCGTGGTGCAAAAATGAACTAAATTCTAAACAATTGTGCGAATCAGTGGGTGTATAAATAGCGTGACCTGTGAATTTAATACTGATTTGTCTCAATCAAGATAGTCTAAAATAAAACCAGTTCATTCTTCTAACGTGGACAAGTAGCAAAAAAGTCAGTCTATTAATTTTTTCCAATATATAGGTGGTCAACGGGTTCTAATTTCACGTTCTAACCAGGCCGTACACACGGAGCCATTCTCCTTCCCGTAGCGTATCCTGGTGTTTGTAGACAGTGCCGGATTATCATTACAATTTAGAAAAATGCGAGCTACGCCCAACAAATGCTCTCACAATTTCATGAAATATTTAATGGTTTGCAAAACTCTGATGTGAGGAATATTCGAATAAAGTGAAGAAACATCACATGGGAACAGAGAAAACACCGCCCTCTGTGTCTGTGATGCTAAAATGGCTAAATTCTCAGGGCCAAGGACTAGTATGATATCATCAAACCAATGTTGTATGTGTAAGTGTGTATCACTTCAAAGTATGTGATATTCTGTGGTCGATGTACGTACGTTGTTTGAGCGTGTTTTACATGGTAAAGACGGGGATTCAATTATGTGATGTGTTTTCAGTAAAACTGTACGAAAAAATAAAGCCAATATGCGAAGTAAAAATACGAAGCTAGAGATCATTTCATTTATGGTACAATATCTCGTTTTGTAAAAAAAAATAGTAGTAGTCACTTATATAATTATATAATTATTCTATCCGTCTTATGGTATATTGTCTTTCCAAATCCACATATTAATTGTTATTCGTGCCATTGTAAGTTTCTTGCCATTAATATTATATTTAAGACAAGAAAGCGTTGTCCTCATAGAAAGCGCGTGCGACATGGCAACGTATATACATCCATACATTGGTATTGCGAGCATAGCGCCACCACGCGATGTAAATTTGCCATAATTTATATATACGTATTTTTCGTCAAATACGTTATCTGCTTATGATGTAGTATAACTGTACTACCTTTGCGTATTTGGCGTCAATTATTGCAGTTGTTTTTAATATATTAAATTAATGTTTTGGCGTCAGAGAAACGATATTGTGTATTTTGTTCTGTTATAGCGCCACCATACGACCAGCCACAAACCGCATTGGCATTCAGACATGCGGGTACGAGTATCATGTACGGTATACTACATTAATTTTAATTAAATTCTTTTTTTAATGTACGTAGATGCAAATGTTGTCAATTTTATTGCTGTATATTGGAGTGTATTTAAATTGATTATAATAAAATAATAATAACAGAAAACAACGAATAGTTTGTAATTTCAAACTACATTACGAGTACACGTTGGAGATGTTCTCCCGAATTGTTGACGGTGTTGTAAATTGGTATTATATCAGACGTCCACTAGAAAATTAGTGCGTACACACTGTCTAATTGTAACTGGTAATTATACTCCCGATGTATACATATTGCAATTTGAAAAGGAATGACAATTTTTTCTCGGCAAATGTGTCAGACGCTGAATTTTGGAGGAAAATTTTGATTCTTTAAAATATATTTAGGATTTTAATTCTAGGCCTATTTTTAAAATGATTGGATTTGTTACTGCTAATTTGTTTTGCTTCCTCTTCGTTTTTTTCTGTTCTTTATTGTCGGTAATAGTCGCGTATTTAACACAATTGTTTCTATCCCGCCAACCATAGAACAGTCTGGTATTGAACTCTCTTATTTTTGTGCCGCCAAACTATGGGACATGTTCAACTCCTTCGCGGCAGGAACATAGGCAACTTTCAATAGGGTTTCAGACAAATGAGCATCGACGGGAACGTGACAGCCAATCACAGACTTCGTTTCATGGGTCTGACATTTTCAAAAAGCGCGCATGCGTATTGATTAGATCCAACATGGCGATCGTCTTTTCTCTTTTGTACTAGTTCCGGAGCATATATTTGATTTTATTCGGGTTGTTATTTATGTTGTCGCAGTTTTCTGACGATCGTGCACATCTCTAGAAAGGTCAGTATTATCTAACTACTCTTACGGTTGACCACTGTCATTGTCACGGAACATCAGACACGTTTTCCTCCACCGATCATGGGGAGCTCTTGTCTTTGCGTAAAAATATCCAAATTGTGGGCAAGTTTAATGGGTGGGAAAAAATGTTTTTTGGTGGACATCTCTGCCTCCAATCCGCTTTTAAAATATTCTGCTGACGTTATATATGAAGCTCTAAATATCCATATGACGTGGTTTGTGTTTATTGTCCAGGTCTCACTGCTTAAAATAATTTTCATGTCAACATTTATCGCTCACTACACGTAAAAAAATAACACAAACTACAATCTGCATTAACATGCAGTATACTCGAGTAATAAACTAGTTTTCGACTTTCCACCGTTGCTATATTCATGCTGGGATTGTGTGTTAATCCAAATCACCATCTCACGTGGCTGACCACAGTTCTGATCGATTTGTAGTTGGTCATATCGTTTTTATGGCTCCGATAATCCATCCACGGGTACTTGTTTACCCTACGTCATAACATTTTTTTTTCACTGATGCTCGTCAGCTCAATTGAGGAATTATGCTAATTTCGATATAGTGATAAACATACTTACAATCGTTAATGCTACTCAAAAGATAATTAGAAAGGGATTGTTGTGTTTGCTGTTGCATCTGATACATTCAGGTGTGGATGTGTAATATATAGACAAGTTTGTGATGAAAAACGACAGTCAAAGTTCATGGTCTTACAAACTCCTTATAGAAAACATGCTTCCTATTGTAATTCATTGATAACCTGAAAACAGTTTGAAAAAAGAAATATTTTAAATAAATAATGTTTTTCCAGCTCAAAGATAAATTATACTGAAATTATCAAAGTGTTGTAATTTTCGTTATTCTAATCTGGTTCAGAACAGGGTTAGGAATTCCATATTTGCTTTCAAATCTGAAAGTATTTTTCAGGATCATCAAAATTAGCTGACAAATTAGTGGTACAACTGTATATAACTGTTGTCTCCTTAGTAAGTACTGTTAGTTTATTTCATTTTGTCAAGAATTATTGTCCATGAGGAAAACAACTAATAAATGAGTGAGCGTTTTTGTAAATTGTATGTACCCTGTACACAATTACATACACATACATTTTCATGCACTTGCTTGAGAAACTGAAACACCTGTATGCATACACTGTACATACGAACATACATTATCAACTGCACATTGCATTATAGTACAAATTATGTCTTTCCAACAGTAAGTGTAAATAAAAACCAAAAATGGACTTCAGTGCTCCTTCTGAACATTGTGTCCAGTGATCTCACATGTTTCACAGTAAGTCTTGGTTATAATAAAAACTTGTCTCATTTTAATCATTACCTTTTTGAGAAAAGAGCAATTGTGCTTTGCTGTTAAATGCTTTTTAAGCCATTGTATTTTTTTCAGATCGGACACAGATTTAGAATGTAAATTTGTGAATGACGGTCACTAGTAAACTTTTCTGCATTTACAAATGTAAATGTATGGCTAAACTGATTGCATTATTGATTTCTAAATGAACTATAGAATATAAACAAAATATTTAAGAAAAATTAGAATGTATATTGTCGTAGGTTTATACAAATCTCCTAGAAAATGCATTTTTTGGTACAGTTGTATCTTTGGTTTACATACATTTATGTTTCATGGTTCATAATCTGAGAATTTCAAGACCTGTGGTGTGTATGATTTGCCTGTCAACTTATGCCAAAGAAAATATCATGGTTGTGAGTGTGTACAGATTCAATGAAGTACATGTATTAGCTTTAGTATGTGCAGCTTTGATCCTTTCACGACTTGTCATCACAGCTTCAATTCTTTCATGACCTGTCACCACAGCTTCAATTCTTCCAGTACCTGTCACCACAGCTTCAATCTTTCATGACCTGTCATAACAGATTTAATTCTTTTAGACCTGTCACTACAGCTTCAATTCTTTCATGACCTGTCACCACAGCTTCAATCTTTCACGATCTGTCATAACAGGTTTAATTCTTTTAGACCTGTCACCACAGCTTCAATCTTTCGTGACCTGTCACCACAGCTTCAATCTTTCATGACCTGTCATAATATGTTTAATTTTTTAGACCTGTCACCACAGCTTCAATCTTTCATGACCTGTTATAACAGGTTGAAATCTCTTAGACCTGTCACCACAGCTTCAATCTTTCATGACCTGTCATAACAGGTTGAAATCTCTTAGATCTGTCACCATAGCTTCAATCTTTTATGACCTGTCATAACAACTTCAATTCTTTTTGACCTGTCACCACAGCTTCAATCTTTCATGACCTGTCATAACAGCTTTAATTCTCTAAAACCTGTCATCCTAGCTTTAATTGTTTTGGTATTTATTTTGTTTGCTCTCTATACTTTTTTTGTGTTGGAAAACTTAATATATTATTGCATTGTTACTACCATATTTATCTAAAAGATTGTCATGGGCAATGTTTTGGATAATAGGTCATATTTTTCAAGATCACCAGAACCAAAACATCAGGGCAAAGTTTTGCATTGTTAAATCACATTCCTGCCTGCCATCAACACACATCATCTTTCTCATAGAGTAGTTTGATTTTTACTTGGTACCCTAAAAACTATAAATTTGTAAACTCAACTAATTTGCTTACTTGATTCAATTAAAAAATATTATAAGATATAAGATATTCAAATAAAAACGATTTAAATTTGTATTCTTTTAATTCATGCTCTAACACTTCATGCAACTCATCACAACACATCGTACCAATTTCAACAAAATGTGAACTTCCATCTCTTTTATTTACATGGTGCTGAAACCTTTCAGATAAATCCTGTAGTGCATTGTATGTATAGGGTCAATAAAAGTTCAAAGTGATGTTTCATTGCTGTATAATCTCACAAGTAAAAAATATACAATACCTATATTAAACTACCTATTCTAATATGACTGATCTTTCCAGATGTATAGGTTGAAAAGTAAACAACACATGAATTAAGACTCTGGAGGACTTTTTGTCCTACACTCTGGGAATACATGCATATAATTGTTTAAATCATTACCGAAAAATGTTTGTTGCTCTTGCACTGTTAATAATGTAATAACATGCAATAACAAAAACATAGTGAAAATATAATTATCATGTTCATTACGCTATTATATAATAAAAATGTTGACAAATAATATAATAATTGTGACATCAAATCAAGAGCCTTTGTGTGAAACCAGTTTTTGTTACTATTAATTAGTAAATAAGTGACATGTTCTGTCATTAACATTTCTGTGTCAAATTATTTGGGGGATTGAGTCACAGTAGAAAGAAATTAGATGTACTTACATGTACCTAACAAAAATAAGACAAAAAATCACATTGTCGTGGTAAACAACTGAGCTGTGTTATTGGTGCTGCAGCACAAGTTGCTGATCAATGCTTGCAATTCTGAAATTTGACTACTCAGATTTAGATGAAAGGAATACACTGACATCAATAAAAGTGATTTGGTGTGCTTACTTAGAATGGAAATATTTAAAATTAATGTTTAAAATGTATCAGTTACAGTGATTCAGATGCTCATCAGACATCAGTAATTTGCTGTTATTTTTTCCAAATTTTGTTCAATCACTTCAGACTTCATTTTTTTCTGTTAACCTTTTCAGCACCAGACTTCATTGCCCAAATTTTTCTGCATTTTTCTCATATTTTTAAATATGTCAAAACATGGCGGGTATTCATTTCTACAGCATTGAGTATTGAAAATAAACCCTAATTTTGGAACCAACAGTCAAAATTTGAGTCCATTTTCAGTTTCTACTCAAAAAATTTGGCTATTTTTGTTCCAATCTTCTGATGGAAAGTGCAGAGATATAAACAGGATTATTTTGTGAATTTGTGATGAAAAGACAGAACTGTTGGTGAAATGGTTAAATTTACATTAATTTGTACATGTACACCCAAAATATGGCAAATAATTAAAAAAATTCCCATCATGCCAGTTGCCATTTTGGACAAAATGTCCTTGGCTAAACTAAATTCCTGCTGGAAACGTTCTGGCAAGGCTTGTGAAATTTTAAAAATTACAAGCCTTGTTATATGGTGCATAATTTTGAGAAATTTTTAACGCTGGTACAATGGAAAAATTTTAACAATGGAAAAATATTTTATTGATCAAGAGCTTATGTGCAATGTGGGAAAACTTCCTGAATTAGGACCATAGCATCATATGGTGACAACTGTTTACTGTAGGGATTTTTTTAAACAGGGGAACAGGGGCGTAGTGCACTCATGGCTCATTCATGGACATGGCGGCCATGCGTCCCCTTACGCTGGGGAGCAGATGCTCAGGCAACCAAAATTTCTGATTGACCAGGGATCACATGTGGCTACAGTCATCAACTGTGACCTGTCTGATAATAATTTTGGCCCCGAGGAAGCCAAAGAATGCTCTATTAACTCAGAAATATCAAAAACTCCACACTCTGGTAGAGAGAACCCTATTTCCCCCTACTTGGTGGCACTGCTAAATTGCAGTGCTCCCTCTTGTAATTTTTTTCTAGAAAAACCCTGTGCTGCATATAAATCTGCCATATAAATGCAAGTGTTACTGCATGTTCTTTACAACACCCACATTTCCCACTAAATGATCAGAAAAATATAATTTTAAATTCCTTCTTCGTTAGTTTGTACATGTACACACAATCAGCGACAACGCTGATGATGCTTTAGTCAAAACTAATAATGGTTTGACATTTAGCATAAGCAAGCAAACAAATTCATCCAAGAATGGTGTTACTACTAGCATATCAGTAGACAGTGGTGGTGCAGCTCCAATCAGTACACGATTATGATGGGCATGGTGTACTGGTACTACAATAGTACTGTCTCCATGATAAAACTACCTCAGGGTAGTAATATGGCTCTGTTCTGACTAGATACGAGTTCATAAAGTGACAGGGACAATGCTGTGTGATTTGTTGTCATCTTGATAATCATTTCAGA